TATTTATTTTTAGAGAGGGAAGGGAGGTAGAAAGAGAGAGAGAGAGAGAGAGAGAGAGAGAAACATCAATGTGCAGTTGCTGGGGGCTGTGGCCTGCAACCTAGTCATGTGCCCTGACTGGGAATCGAACCTGCGATACTTTGGTTCGCAGCCTGCGCTCAATCCACTGAGCTATGCCAGCCAGGGCTTCTGTACTAATATTAAATGATGTCCAAGACTCACTATTAAATGATAAGTGCAAGTTGCAGCACACAGAACAATATGCACAATATGACCCTATTTTTGTAAATTACACACACAAATAAAAGGAATATAGACAGATACACCCAACTGACAAAGTGTGGCTCCTGTTGGCTGAAACTGGTGGGAACCAAAGGGAACTTTTGTTTGTTTGTATTGCACACATTTTTAAAACAAGAAGAACGTATTCTTGTAGTGTTTGAAAATAAATTTAAAAAAAAACAAAAATGTAGTGAACTAAAAATGGCTTATATCAGTCTTAGCATCCAATATTTTCAATGTTTGTCTTCTGTTTGTGTTCAAACCACGTGCAGTGTCACAGCCTCCATTGGCACATTGCTTTATAGTAAACAAAGGTTTGACATGTAGAAGCACAAAACGAAACGCTCTCTTAGCAAGGATATTCCAGGCTCTATCATAGGTTTTGATTTCTTTTTCACTCTAAAAGGGACACTTACTTCCTGCCAAGAACATTTTAGGTGGTGCTCCTTCCTTTAAAATTCTGTCGTCCATGTTAGCAATTCAGGTAGATTCATACTTTCATAAAGATAGTTTGTGACTAGCTGATTATATTTAAAATAAGATACTGTAACACATGAAAAAGGATATTTTGCTCAGAAGTTCTAGGAAGAGAAAGTAGGGTGTTTTTGAGACAGTAATGTTGATTTCAAGGTTTATTAAGACACTAAAAGTAATTTCCTGGAAGCACTAATGTTTACCTTTAAATATAAAAGTGCCTATTATAAATCTGTAAGGCTCATTCTGTTACAGTACAGTGTTTCCCCAGCCCACAGGCTGTGCTACCTGAGTTTTACGTGACTTACAGAAACAGCAAACTCTCTGAACAGTACAATCAATGGTCAATGATTCCATCCATCATCTTTGTACATGTAAATTTAAACTCAGACAAAATATAGGACCACCCCCCACCAGATGTGCTTCACTCCTCCCTAACATCTTTCCAAAAATAATTCACTATTGATATTGAATGTGGAGTTTTGTTTACCTGCAATACAAATGACACTGATGTGTGGGAGCAACTTTTATTCTTATATGAGGGAGACAGAAAAGAGGGATTTAACATTTGCCCTTTCTTATGCAGATGTGAGCCACCACCAAATCGAAGCACTTCAGGCTCCAGGCACGCAGCCTGCTTAAACACATGCTGGGAGATGAGACCCCTCTACAGGAGTGAGAGAACCCCTGATACTTAGTGGGGATCCACTGGTATTTCCTTGCAAAAAGTTTGTGAATTTTGAGAAGGAAAGCTGGAGGAAGTGATTCTCCCTGAAGCCCCTGGTCTTTGTTAATTGCTTGGGTTAAGATTTTCTCACATACTTAAAGATACAGATAAGAGTACACAGTTTCATCAGTAGTAGTGGTCTGTAATGTCGATGCTTAATAGACCGTTGAAACTACTTGTATTAACATAGTGACTATCCACACAGATTCTGGACTTTCTCCCTAAACTTATCCAAATACTCTAACCAGAAACCCAAAATGAATAGCACATGACAAAAATGAATTTAAGCTACTTTAATACTGAAGAGCAAGACAACAATGAAACTGTTTTTGGACATTGTTAATACAGCACTTTCATCGATGCTATGATATGTAGTTTTTACAGCATAAATTACTATACAGAGTTGGCTTATTTAAAATCTTCTTCAATTTGGGAAACAATACTAAGACCAACTCCTGTAAGAGTTGAGAAGATGAAGGCTCTACACTTTGCTAAAACTGGATCAGTGAAGAGTCTTGCAGGAGATAAACAGGTTGCCAAGTTGCTGACAACTTACTCAAGGTGGGGATGCAGAATTTGAAATGGTAGGGATTTTTTTTTTAGATTTTATTTATTTTTAGAGAAGGGAAGGGAGGGAGCAAGACAGGAACAGAAACATCAATGTGTGGTTGCCTCTCACGTGTCCCCAACTGGAGACCTGGCCCACAACCCAGGCATGTGCCCTAGACTGGGAATTGGACCGAGGACCCTTTGATTTGCAGGCTGGCACTCAATCCATTGAGCCACACCAGCCAGGGCTTGAAATGGTGTTTGATATGATACATGAGGATTTTGACACTGAAATACTGAATTAGAGGTGCAGATTCCATGACTAAACATCCAAGATGACAGAGAATAAGAAAATGGTGGAATTTTAAATTCCTGCTCTATGTGGGAGTGACTTTAAACTTGATTCCACAGAACTGTAGTATATCTGGGCCTCTTCATGCTAATAAATCCTGTGGTGCTACTCTGGAATATTTTTACCTCAACATCTGGAATTCACATTGGATAGGGTGTTGTGCTCCTGTGGAAAGGGTGTTAGAATTGATTTGGGCTTAAATAGGGCTGGACCTCTCAGGACTTGCAGCTGCTGTTCCTTCAAGCTGGAGAAAGGCAAGGAAACAGATTTCCAGTGAATCGAAATGCAGGGTTCCTTTTGAAGGAGTATTTCATGATTATTTTGGCTAAGCTCAAAGCAATGATTTAGGGACATAAGGAAGCCCTGTGTCTAAATAATACAAATATTGGATAAAAGCTAAACACATCAATCTACCTTTTGGGACCTGACATCTGTGGTATGGAACATTTAGATCATTGGTCAAATTTCTAGTCTTTGTCCTGATGTTTGGGGCTAGAATGTTCAATCTCTAGTTGGGCATCACAAAAATAACTAAGTTATTATGTTGATTTTTTTCTCTCTCTTCATACACCACCTAAAGTGTATCCTATAATTAAGAGATCATGCTGAAAAAACCACCTAACCCACCAGAGAAAAAAAATCCATCCATTTTCTCAAGAGAGGTTTCCTCTTTCCCGAAGCTCATGACATACCCAAGTCCCTCATGACAGATCTCCTTTCTCAGGGACAAACTTCCCAGAGCAGCTGTCCTCCACTCGCCAGCCCCAAACAACAAAAATTTTACTACTAAAGGCACAAGAAACACATGAAGAGAACTCAGCCTCTCAGCAGTCCCAGAAAACATATGAGGGCGCGGGACGTGAGACTGTGCTGGTTGAGGATATTGGAACCACAGTGTTCAATGGGCAAGCTATTTTCCCATGGCAGGTGGCACATGTTGGAAGCCTGGACTCAATGGTCCTTTTTCCCTTTTCTATCAGGATACCCCTGACTTCTGAAGGCCTAGGCTGGATGGGAAAGAGGACAATGAGACTATATCACCATCTCTGGGGTACTTGGCAGCTCTGTTGCTCCTGGCAAGGACAGACCCCACACCCCCCTCATTGGTTCATTAGATCTCTGACTACAGGCAGGGTAGACTCAAAGTGGTAACAACAAGGGCTGAGGAGCTCCCTGTCGTCCTCTTGGCCTCCAGAACCTGTCAGGGCAAGATAAAGTACCTTCTCTCACATCACACACCTCTGCAATTGGTGCCTACAGATACAGTGTATTTCTGTTCTGACAGATGCTTAATTCCCACTGAGTGTGATAACTGGAATCTAAAGATACTTGCCCAGTATTGATTCTCACACTCAGTGAGGTAGTCAAGTATTCTTAGTTACACTTCACATGGAGGAAACTGAGGCATGGAAAGGAATTTTATTCAAGGATCAGGTGCAGCAGGCAAAGGAGGAATGTGTTTGAGCACCCCAGTTATTCTCCTGATGTCTCACCCCAATGTCAACAGCTCTAATATTGAATCTTTGTTTCCTTAAAGCCCCCACTGCCATCCTCTTCTGTTCTTTTAAAAAGTCAAGATATTAAATTTAATAGAACTTAGAAGGGAAAAATCCTAATGGAACAAAAAATCAACCCAGCTCACAGAAAAGGACACTTTGGGTTGAGTTGGTAGCCCTGGGAACTTTAGGGGATTAATAATCAGTGTGCAGATTACTCAAAGTCCTAGACAGGCCCCAGGGATAGATAGCTGGTGATGCTACAGAAGTGTCTTATCACTAAAGATTGGCATGTTATCCCTTTACAATTTTTGACATCTCAACGACATGGTCATAACAAAGGAGACTCAAAGAACCTTCTTTAAAAAGTCATATACCTTCAGCTACTGTGGGCCCGCTGTGTTCGGTCAGGTGACGATACACCTGCCTCAGTGTTAAGTATTTTCTCTTTGCTCATTTGGGTTCTAGAAATAAAGAGATGATAAATATTTGGGGGAAGAAATCAGTTTTGTCTTATGCAAACTGTTATGAAAAACAAAAATATTGTAATTATTTTAGTAACCAAACAGCACCACATGAAAATCCTGAACGCTAGCTTTATTTTCTTTTACATCACAATAGGATAAAAACTTTCTCTGACGAGCCTTTCCTAGGTTAGCTGGTAAGTCCTTGATTCAGCTTTCAGGCCTCATCATGGCTTCTTGATGCTTAAACCCAAATGCTGATTATTGTGTTGACTTGCAATTAGTATCTAGAATTCATCCCTCAGATCAATGTGTTTAAAACTGCCTGTAAGAGGATTTTCAAAGAAAGGCACAGGGATTTAATCCCCCGATTCCCATTACTCTGAGAGCTGTGAATTTAAATCCCCTTGCAGCCAACCCCAAATTTACCCCCTGCTGCCTCACAGTGCCAATTAAATAATAAAAATCGAAACCGTGGTCAGATGTAATTAGTTTGAGAACAGAGTTTTATAATTTTCCTCATGCCAAGAAAACAAATGGACCCTTCTGATGACAAATACAGAATAATCCAGTTTGGACAAAAAGAACACGTATCTCAAATCTGAACATTTCTTTTTTTAAAATTTTTATTTATTGATTTTTTGAGAGAGAGAGGAAGGAAGAGAAAGAAACATTGATTTGTTGTTCCACTTATTTATTCATTCATTGGTTATTGGTTGATTCTTTTACATGCCCTGACTGGAGACTGAACCCAAAACCTTGGTGTAATGGGACGACGCTCTAATGAGCTTTGCAGCCAGGGCTCCTCAAAGCTGAACATTTCTTGTGCTATTCGTCAGGAAGCTGTAATATTGAAAGACTGTGCTTTCTGGGAGTGTGAAAACGAGGAAATAAACTCTGGCTCAGAATTGTTGGGAATGCAGTTCATGTTTTTTTTCCTTTCATTAAAAAAAAGTCTTTCAGGACTTTAATTGATCCAGATTTTACAAAAGATGTGTTACTCTTAAAAAATATGATTCTCATAGGAACAGGCTTCGGGTGAGTAGCAGGCAAAACAGCATAAGAGAAAGACAGTTTTTGAACGACTGCTGAGCGTTTAGCCCACACCATCTGTCAAAGGGTATCAAGTCGGTGGTCCGAGGGCAAGCACAGTGGAGTCTCTTGTCCTGGCCATCTTCAGAATGAGGCGGTCTCCATGGTGACATGGAGTTAGGGTTCTGCTTCACCACAAGGCATATCCGAATCTAAGGATAAGGCCTGGGTAAACTGAAGTAATGGGTTTGTTTTTGTCATGGTTTCTGCCTCCTAGTTTAGTTTAGTTTGGGCAGGAGGGGAAAAAAAAGGAGGGAGAGAAGAACAAAAATGAGGTTAACAAAAAACCCCTCCTACACAGGGGGATATACCATGGCAAGACACTGGTCTAATAATTAGTTTCATCTTTGTTAATTCAAAATTCTTTTATTCTACTCAACCACACATTGCGAACATTATTTCACCGTATTGGTCTGAGTTGGAAAAACCTGGCACACATGAGTCAGGGAACTAACTGTGTCGTTGCGGAAGGTAAGCAGAACAGTGACTCAGGGCCACTGGTTGGACAAGCCCCAGTGCAGCCTTCGGTGTGAAGTCAGGTCCCCTCCTCAGTGTTTCCTGAAACATGGGGCGGTGGTCTCCCGCACGTGTGCACACGTGCACAGATGGCTGGGAAATGGGAAAGACAAGTAGTCAAGTGTAGTTATAATAAAGAAAAACATACTCTCCCCCATGAAAAATACCAGACTTAGTGATGATAATCTGTGGGAGCTATGTTAAAAAAAACCAAAAAACTCATGAAATAAGGTCGTTTCTAAAGAGAGTATGAACTGGGGACCAGAATACTTATTTGAACACATTTTGATTCTAAAGTTTTCTTATAAAAATAGTCACAGAAGTTGGTGGATTTTTTTTTTACGTACAACTCAATTTCTCTCATTTACAACATAAATCATTTAATGTAACATTTGTAACCTTAGAAAGGCAGACATATTTAATCTAAGTCAGTTTATAAATTCCAATTTCATATGGATTAAAAACTGCAGATAAATTAAGTCACAACAATATCCTGTACATGCATTAAGGCTGGTGACTGCTAAAGTCTCTTGGGCATCTACAGACGGGAAATCGCACACAGACTACTGGGTCTGAAGAGTGTCTACATCATTAAAAAAATCTTGCTTTTTTTGGTGATACAGATTTCAACAGTAACTCTGGAAAACTGTGAAAAATGTTATTTAAAAATATATATGTATATACTACTGCACAGTTTCAAAGATGTGATTCATAAATAATGTTGGCTGCACTGGTTAATTTTATAACAATTACTGTACTTCCAAGGTGATGGGAACACGCAGTGACTTATACTCAATATTAGGCACTAGTAATATCCTTCAGGCGTTCTACAGTTTTATGGTAGCTGTATTGTACATATATATTTTTAAATGTATGCATTTATACAAACTGTGTATATTATGCATGGGATGTCAGAAATGTACACATCACTGTTATATAATACACACATCATTGTTGTATATACTAGGTTAAGTTTTAGTGCAGAAAGTCTCATTGCATTGTGTTCTATGTGTCCAGTCTAGTACACAACTTGTCAACTCCTCAGACTATTTTTCCAGTACAGTCCTCTTTAGATAGTGGGTCCAAGTTTCCATTTGTAATTTGAAAGTTTCCAGAAATATCTGTTTTAACCAAACCTCTCTTTCCAGGCACAATTCTGCACATAAGTCTGATCTGTGTAGAGCAGTAACAAATCCCAAATTTTGATTAGGAATGTATTTGAGTTACTCCCTTTGAAAGGTAACTCTAACATTGTGATAAAAGCTGGCATCCACTCAGGTTATGGAAAGATGTGGTCAGTTGAACCTGTGTTGAACTTCTGCAGAAATAATATGTCTTCAAAAAGAAAGAAATAATAATAGATACTATATGTTGAAATGGGAGAATCTCCAGAAGGACAGACATGAAACTGGGAGCAGTGGTTGTCTCTGGGGGTTGGGGCTACTTTCTAATTTCTGCATTTCTGTACTGTCTAAACTTTTACAATGAAGCTGTTTAAATCAGAAAATGTAAGAAAGATATTTCTACTTTGAACAAAACTAAATAAAAGAAAGTTATGAATGACTTTCACAAACAACAAGATGTATCCTTATCATAATCATCTACATCCAAACTAATAAAAACTGCTGCCCCACCATACTCTACTGATGAAACAAAAGGCCAGTGTCAAGTTTTATTGGGAAACATGGGTCATCAACGTGCTGATAAAATGCCAGAGGCCACCGGTGTGTTTAGATGGGGTTTTATGGGTCAGCATACCACATGGATACCACACAAGGCCAGCAAAGCACCCCAAGGACAGACCTGAGGGTTGGTCATTCCTTTATGTGAGAGTTTGAGCATTTCATCAGCATTCAGCAAGAGTAAGCAGAACTAAGCCTCAGTCCTCCAAAACAAAACAAAATAAAATAAAACAACAATTCACAATTTCTTAAGTTAGACTTAAATTTCTAACCTCCAATGGGATCGTGAACTCCACCACCACCAACTAGTGAAAGGGATGGGGCAAGCACCTCAGTTGGATGAATGTAAAATAGAAATTTTGTTAATAGTTCCAGAAGCTTCAAGGCTAAAGCCAAATGCAAATTCCACGAGCCCTTCACCTGCTCATTTTAAATTAACGTCAGGTCACCATTTGTACAGTTCAATCATTTCTACAATTTTGAATCAGTGCTTATAGCTCAGGAATTATGGCCATCTTATCTTCACCTATACATCAGGCTGACAAAAACATTAACAATGAAGCCGAACCAATCCAACCACCAGTGAGAGCATACATGAGCATCTCTTGTAAATGTTTTGTGCCACCTTTACCTTGAAAAAATGGGTTGTTCCATAAATTGCATCACCTGTCTTTCTCAGACCATCCTGGTGCTATTTTGTCAAGTGAGAGGCCTAAGAAACATTACATCCTTTTTTTTTCCTGGAGTTTTTCTTTTTAACCAATATTTTTATAACCAAATATATTTAATAAGAACACTAAAGCTAAGGCATGACAAGGGACTATAAAAGAAACAAATTTCAAACAAAAACTGTAAACAAGATGTCAAAAAAACCTAAAATGTAAACTTAAGTAAAAAAAAAAAAAGAGAAAAGAATTGAGGGCACAACGTAAACATAGCAGACACACAGGGTGTGAGCATCATGTCCCGGCTGCTGCTCCCCAAACAGCGCTGCGATCACTGCAGGAATAACTCACCCTGCGCAGTGAGCAGCTGGCTAATCAAAGCCTGAAACGTACCCCCAGTTCAAAACGCCTTAACGTGGCACATTGCGCATGAAGAGTGAGGGGATTAGAGTTACCAGGAGAGCAAGGAATTCTCAGCCTGATAGGCAACAGATAGACTCCTAGTGAAGGGTATTCTAGGTAATGTCCCAATTTGGCCAAGAACATTTGTAAGAAAGCTATCATGGAAAGAATAGACTTAAAAAATATTGGCTGACAAATGCCACATGGCTCTACAGCCACTGTGTCACAGTGGCAGGAGGAAAGAATGCATGTGCTGGGCGAGTCTGTTGTCACATGCACAAAAGATTTTAATCCCTAACATAGTTCCAAAACGCAGGTGTGACTGCGTTAATATTGGTTCACTTTCAAAGGCACTGAGTTCTTACCAAATCTCTGTGCCACTCTCATACTATTTGGGGGGCAGGGCAGGGAAGGCCCGTGGGAGTTGATCCATTTGCTTATAACACATTTAGTTGATAATAAAGTTGGATGGAGGGGCAAGTATTAAATGAAAGGCAGGTATTTGGTAACATGCAACCTGGTAAACATCCAGCACATAAAAAACTGACTTATTTTCATTAATTCGATTACCCATTAATACATACAAAGAATAAATGGGGAATAGTATATTAATACTGAAAGTAATCAATAATATAAGAACTAGGTTCATTGTAACTGGCAGTCAAGCTTTTGGTGTGCTGCATTGCACCTGGTTAACTAACTGTGAGATTTGGGTTCAATGTTCTAAAATGTCATGGTTTAGATTTGAAGTAGAAAGTTTTGTGTGTGTGTGTGTGTGTGTGTGTGTGTGTGTGTGTGTGTGTGTGTGTGTATGTGTGTGTAAGTGTATTTCCTCTAATCAGAAACCTCTGATCACTTTGTCTAGACTGGGCTTATGAAAACTAGACAAAGAAAATGTGTTCTGAAGAGCTGTGTGTCTTACACACACACAAACTGCTTCCTCAACACCCACACATACAAACACACATGCCCTGGGTAAAGACCACTGTTCAAAGGTGAGAAAATATTCACTGCAGTTTGACAGATGCTGTGGCTGGGAACTTCAGTAGCACAGTGTCCAGAAACATTGAGCTGTCCATGGAGACGAGAGCACAATTCAGCTCAAGGGAGAGGCCCCTATGACAGGTGGGCGCTGTTCCGCAGCCAGTGCAGGCCCTGCTGGGAGTACTGGACCAGGTGTTCCATGCTGCTGTGTAGGGTGACAGGCCCCATGAGCAGATCCAGGTCGTTGAAGAATTCTAGGGGACACAGAGAGTCGTTAGAGTGCCACACATGCTGCGTGTACCCTGGGAGACCTAAGTGACTTCAAAAACTCCATTCGTGGTCTATACAAACCAAGCGTTCTCTCTTCTATCATGCCACTTTACAACGAAACCCAAAAGTACCAACTCATCCTTTTACCCAAATAGACACTCTATTGGCCATTTTTAATTCAAATGAATAACATTTACTTAGCCAAACCAAAAAGAACATTGACTTTCTTGAACTACATTCCCCTGAACATGGAGTGTGGCTCTGTCACCCCCTACCCTAGACTCAGCTGCGGCAAGTGCTGAGCCACTGCAGAGAGTCTCAGGGAGGTGGCTCCAGGCTCCTGGTGGCAAATCAGAGACAGTTCTGACCTATTTCTGCTGAGGTCACCTTCTAGTCCTTGGACATTCTCTGGGTTTCTTCTTTCATTAAACATTTATTATGTCTCAAGGAACTATGCTAGGTACAGTAGGGCAGAGGCAGGGATATACTATGTATAATAGACGCTGCTCTCTCAGAGATCACAGCTAGTGGCAAAGAGAAACAAATTCATATGGCTGCTATGGCTGCTACGCTGTCATAACCGGACCACTGAACAACAGCTCTTCAGAAGAAATGCCTGGGAGAAGTTTTGCAAAGGTGCTCATATACACACTTGCTGAATGAGGTCCTGCTGGGAAGGCAAGGGAGAAGGTAGAGAAGGCTGCAGTTCCTGGTGGCTGGGAAGGGAGCCCTGGCAGCGATACAGGGCAGAACCACCAGGAGGAACAGGTCAGACGCACAGTGCTGACTTTGCCTTAGACGTGTGCGTGGCTCTGAGCCCTGTGGGAGGAGACGGCTAGCAGGAGCTGGCGGTGCCCCCTGGAGCTGAGCCTGCTCAGGGCCTCCTAAACTGGACTTGTAGATTTTTATACATTTGTCCCTTCTGTTTGTCTACTTGTGACATCCACTTCACTTCACCTCAGCTACTCAACTACTATTTGCTTTTCATAATCTTGTTCCATGCCTGTTTCCCATTGGATTCTCAGGGTCAGTGCCTCTGGTTTTATTGTCAGTTTCAGGTACTCGGGACCCGCCTGCCTATCCACGCCATAACCTCCTCATCTTACCATGGACATCTGATCTTGTCCTCAGAGGCTTTATGCTCTCATGGGAACAAAATTTACATTTAATGATTTGAAAGTGATCTCAGACTTGTACCTCAGTAATAAATTGGTATAATCATTTGGGAGAAAAGTTAACAACATATACCAAGATATATGACAATATATACCATAACAGAATCTATACCTGTTGACCCCAAAATTCTACAACTTACTCCTATGAAAATAATAAATATGGAAAACAATTTATATAAAATATTTATCATAACCTTATTTATAATAGTGGAAAAATATTGGAAGTAACCTAAGTGTCGAACAACAGGGGAATGGTCACAGAAATCATACTTTATGACTGTATAACCACTATTGTGACAGTATTGTAGAACCATCATAAAGGGTGTTTCTGCACTAGATAGTAACATGGGAAAGTGCCTGATGTAATATCACATGAAAAAAGACAGATGTATCATTGTATATACACTATTATCTTATTTTGGTAAAACTCATGCATATTTAGAGGAAACAGGAAGAAACTTCACAGAATGTTAATAGTAATTATTTCTAGGTGATAAGATTACTGATCATATAAAAAGCTTTTTTTCTAAAACAGTTTTCTGTACTTTATAAATTTAGCTATAATAAACATGAATTCCTTTTATAGTCAGTTAAAACACATTTAAAAAGAAATAGAACTTATTGCTACATGTAAGCAGCTATCACTTTAATAGCTAGTAACATTCACTCATTCATTAATTCACTGTTTCAGATTCCCCACCGAGTTCAAGGCACTGTGCAGGTCCTGGGGACGGAAAGTAGGATAGAATATCATCCTTACCCTCAAGGAGCTCACTGTCTACAGGGAAAAATGCAAATGTGTATATACCTATATCTTTATGTATATATCTTTACCTATATGTGTATATACCTATATCTTTATCTATATATCTGCATCTGTATATATTTATATTATTTGTATCTATGTATTAGGTAGAGCTGCTTTGACTCTGTGTTTTGGTAGTATGGCCTAATGTAGTAGATGTCCTGTACGGTCCAGTGGCACAGCCTCCCCTATCATCCAAGCTGGGTACTCAAGGGGTGTCCTTTCTGTGGGCTGAGTACACCCTCCTCTTGTAGTTGAGCTTAGGCTGCTGTTGGCAGGTCAATGAGAAGGATTTACCCAGGCTGGTCAGCTGCAAGAACTGGCTGTGACCACTGACCAGCAATCTCTGCTCTCCGTGGAGGATCAGCTGTGCAGGGGCAGGGCGGTGGTGCTCTGATGAGGTCTGTTGCTGCCCACTGGGTTAGCAGGCCCTGGGGTTTCCCAGGTGGTACAGGGCAAGTTCAGCCTCCACCTGTGTTTTGCCCGGGGCCACCCTTGGCAAAACTATCAAGCAAACTGCTTGAGCTATCAAGCAATTGGAGATGGCTGCTGCATGTGCCTGGGCTTGCAGATTCCCAGGTGAAGCCAAACTGTCAATCTATGCTGGCTGCTGCTAGTGCCATGCCTGGGGCTCACTGAAGCAAGCTACTGCTCGTTTGATAGAATTTAGAAGATGTGAAGCATGAACCAAGACCAACCATTCATATGGAAAAGCAGCTTGGGTGGGCCCATAAATTAGGTGGGGCAGAGTCTTTGGGGATCTCCAAGGTGGGTCAAACAGTGTTACACAGGTTGATGGAGTCTCACATATGGTACCAGCTTGCTTGCTCTGTGGCTTTGTAGGGGGAAGGTTTAGAAAAGAGACAATAACTTCTGTCACATTGATGTCAGACACTTCAATTCCTCCCTGTATGCCATTGGTGCCTTTTCAAGCTGCTACCCTGGTGATGGAGCTCAGAGGGAGTGAGTCTGAGTAGGTGAGTCACTGTGGGGGTTCTTTAAGAGTAACTACTTGAGGCTCCAGAAATTTCTTCCACTGACTCAATCCCCACTGGTTTTTACAACCAGAAGTTGTGGGGACTTATTTTCCTGGCACTGGAACCCTGGGCTGGGGGCCTGGTGTGGGCCGAGACTCCTCATTCCCAAGATATCCCTCCCAAATTTCTATCTACCACATGTGGTGTGGGACCAGCCTATTCTGTATCTGTGTCCCTCCTACCAGTCTGGATGGGTGTGGTTTCTTTAATGCCATAGTTCTTGCACTTCCATTCAACTTGATTTCTGACAGTTCTGATGGTGGTTCTATATTTTAGTTGTGATTTGGATTGGTTGTGTGAGGAGGCAAGCCATGTCTGCCTATGCCACCATCTTGACTGGAAGTCATCTGTATCTGTATCACCTGTATCTGTATCTCTAATCTTCCACAGTGAAGAAAGAGGTATATTAAGGTAAATATAGGACGCCCTGAGTGAGGGGGAGAAGTCAGGAAAGCTTCACACAGTAGGTGACAGCCTGATTTCTTCTTCAGTAAATGATGGCAACTGGTCCAGTGTTGCCCAAGGGTCAGGTTGTCTCTCTGAGTTGTGGTCAAACCACACACATACTCCCCCAAGGGACACCTACCTCTGTTCTCCTTGGCCAGGTTGTCTGCCATTTCCCAGTAGTCATAGCTGTGGAGAATGCTGTTGGTGATGCTGACGTGATTGGCTGCCATCTGGTGGATGCGCTGTGGGATGCTGACGATGGTTGAAGGGGACAGGGTGTTGGTACTGGAGAGGCTCCCCTGAGATCCCACGGAGCTGGTGGGGGAGGGGTTGGGAGACATGGGGGATGGGGTTCCAGTGCTCCTGGAAGGAGAGAGCATAGAAAGGTAAGGGTGGAGAGGTTGGTACCAGGTGGGGTGGGGCAGCCAGTCAGGACACTACTGTAAGCAAAGTAGCACACTGCCCAGCAGCAGGCAGGGGCTCATTTATTGCCTTTACTTTGGAAAAATGAACTTACTTTCCACTGGCCCCCCATGGAGATGGGGCTTGGGCAGCTTTAGATGAATTCTGCAGGAAAACAAAAATATTGACAATGAACCATCTGTTAAGTATTACAGACAACTACATGTTCTCAGGTGATGGCTGAGAAAAGTAATGGCTGACACTGCACATAAAATGCAGATTCCTAGAAAATGGACCTGGGAAGTCACAGGTCCTAGGCTATTGGCTCCCTCTCTGGAACCGAGTGGGGAGCAGCTGTATGGCCTGCCAGGCTCCACGACAGCCTATCATGGGTTTCCAAGCACCAAATTCTATGTCTGAAATTAAACCATAATCCTGAGGGTCCACTGAATCCTGAACCAGTTTAATTTTTCCATCTTAAACTAGCTCAATTTTTCTGAAAGGGAAAAAAGAGCAGCCTTGCCCGCCGCCCCCACCCCCTCCAGCAAGAACACCTTACACGGAAATGTAGGGCATATTTGCAGAAACTGTTGGCATACGTTTAATCCCAGACATCACATTGTGTTATTTAAATTTATGAGGCTTAAATGTATTTCTCTTAAAGGAAGTTACTTTTGAATATTTCTAAAAGAACAGATTAAAATATATTTCCTCAACAGGGTACTCAAACATTCTGATTTACCTAACTATTCTAATTTAGGATGTTACATTTCACAAGCCAGTTGTCAACATCAGGCATTTACAAAAAGTTCTGCCTTTGGTAAGGCAAAGTTCCTAAGTGTACAGATGAATTTCCTCTCTGAGAGCCCAATAATACTTTCTTGGACCTAAGTCTATGGGGCTGTTAAGGAAAAAATTCTTTATAATGCTGATGTGAATTTTCCCTTCCAGAGACAAGAAAATAGCCTCAGTTTGGTCCTCCAGAGAAAAAACATTTCTTTTGGTTAAAAAGAACTTTACAAAGTGGTGACTGATTTTAGTGGGGGTGTCATCAAGAAATGGCCTTACATGTGGCAGTTTTGAAGTTGCCTCCAGGCTCCTTCCACTACCACTAAGCAAGCCTTGTGACTGTAGAATCCTGGGTGGGAACAAAGTCCTTTGTTCAGAGACAGCGCTGTAGCAATAAAGCACATTCTTTATGGACAATTTATCATTGTTACCTGAAGGTTCCATAACCATGGAACTTTAAGGAGCATTTAAATAGCCTTTAATTAAGGGTGACTACCAATAACTTCTGAAGGGGAAACTCTGATTTTTAAGTTGTGTTCTCTATAAAGAACTTGTTTTCCTTAAAGTTCTGTCATAACCCCTGTGGCCTACAGAGTTTAGATTCCTTCTCTGTTGAAGCATTTTTCTTGACTGTGAAAACTCTCTTTAGTATTAGTTCTCAGATTCTAAATTTTAAAAAATGACCTTAGGTGCCCAAAGTAAAGAGAAAGGCTTAATGTCAGCCAGGACCGTTATCTTCTTGGCTGAGCACCTGGTTACTCATGCATGACCAGGAAGGAGGCGGCATGCTGGATGTAGCCCACAGGACCCCCAACAGAGCCTGGTCATCAGAGATAATCTCTAAGAAGTGGCATTGGGTTGGAAGTGTCTAAAATGATGGTTTTGTATCTCACAAAGGGTTGGTGGAGGTAGAGATGGTATAATTTCTTGTTTCTAGAGACAGATGGACAGTGAAGAAGCCCAAAATCTCAAATTAATTATTACTTCAGGTCTACTTCACAAGAGTACATGAAAGTTTTTTTCTTCTTTTTAAAATATATTTTGATTATGCTATTATAGTTGTCCCATTATTTCTCCCCTTTATTTCCCTCTGCCATGTACCCCCCTCCCACCAGCATTACCCCCCCTTAGTTCATGTCCATGGGTCATACATATAAGTTCTTTGGCTTCTCCATTTCCCATACTATTCTTAACCTCACCCTGTACATTTTCCCCCACTCTCCCCCCCTCCACTCTCTCACCTCCTCGCTGTTGATAACCCTCCATGTAATCTCCATGTCTGTGATTCTGTTCCTGTTCTAGTTGTTTGCTTAGTTCTTTTTTTTTAGGTTCAGTTGTTGATAGTTGTGAGTTTGTCATTTTACTGTTCCTATTTTTGATCTTCTTTTTCTTAGATGTTCCTTTAACATTTCATATAATAAGGGCTTAGTGATGATGAACTCCTTTAACTTGACCTTATCTGGGAAGCACTTTATCTGCCCTTCCATTCTAAATGATAGCTTAGCAGGATAGAGCAATCTTGGATGTAGGTCCTTGCCTTTCATGACTTTGAATACTTCTTTCCAGCCCCTTCTTGCTTGTAAGGTTTCTTTTGAGAAATCAGCTTATAAGAATGCCTTTGTGGGTAACTGTCTCATTTTCTCTTGCTGCTTTTAAGATTCTCTCTTTATCTTTCATCTTGGGTAATGTAATTATGTGCCTAGATGTGTGCTTCCTTGGGTCCAACTTCTTTGGGACTCTCTGAGCTTCCTGGATTTCCTGGAAGTCTATTTCCTTTGCCATATTGGGGAAGTTCTCCTTCATTATGTTTTCAAATAAGTTTTCCATTTCTTGCTCTTGTTCTTCTCCTTCTGGCACCCCTATGATTCAGATGTTGGAACTTTTAAAGTTGTCCCAGAGGTTCCTAAGCCTCTCCTCATTTTTTTTTGAATTCTTGTTTCTTCATTCTGTCCTGGTTGAATGTTTATTTCTTTCTTCTGTTCCAAATTGTTGATTTGAATCCTGGTTTCCTTCCCATCCCTGCTGGTTCCCTGTACATTTTCCTTTATTTCACTTTGCATAGCCTTCACTTTTTCCTCTATTGTGCGACCACACTCAACCATTTCTGTGAGCATCCTGATTACCAGTGTTTTGAACTCTGCATCTCAATAGGTTGGGTATCTCTTCATTGCTTTGTTGTATTTTTTTCTGGAGCTTTGATCTGTTCTTTCATTTGGACCATATATTTTTTTTTGCCTTGGCATATCTGTTATGTAGTAAGGGGTGGAGCCTTAGGTATTGGCCAGGGTGGGGCAACCCATGTCACTGGGTTGTGGAGCTGTATGTGGCAGAGGGGTCCAAAAGGGAACAATAGGGCTTTCCCTACTCTCAGCTGGCTTTCAGTCACTTCCTCCGCTGCCCACGATCAAATTGGGCCCTTCTGGTGCTGATTTCTGGGGGGGTGGGTTTGTGTACATTCCGGGACCGTGTTGGTCTCTCCAACAAACTCTCCTGTGAGGCTGGGAGCTTCTTCTGCCACCTCAACCCCTACAGATTTCTTCAGTCAGAGGTTTTGAGGTGGAACTCTGGGATGCATGATCTGTCTAGTTCCCCAGTTCTTCCTCCAGGTTTATCCACATGTAAATGTGGGACCACCCACTCTGCCAGCCACCACCTTGCCTGCCTCCACCCTCCAGCTGCCACCTTGCCGTGAGTCCTCTCCACCCCGGCTGTCCACTGCTACCCCTCCTACCGGTCTGGGTCAAAGTTTCTTCTTTAACAACTTGGTTGCTGGACTTCCACATAGTTCAATTTTCTGGCAGTTCTGGTTATTTTTTTGTTTTTAAACTTGTTGCTGTCCTTTTGGTTGTGTGTGCGAAGAGGCAAAGTGTATCTATCTATGCCTCCATCTTGGCCAGAAAGTTTTTTTAGTTTTATTTTGCCAGTGAAACTGATTTCATTCCCTGAGACAGGTAAAAGTTATAATTCTATAATTCTATCTTTATATTTATATATTGCTATTTGTCCTAGTGCTTCTGAGCTTTAACAAGCCATTTATTTTTAGATTTTATTTATTTATTTTCAGAGAGAGGGGGTCAGAGGGATAAAGAGACGGAGAGAAACATCAATTAGTTGCCTCCTGTACACCCCCAGCCACGGACCTGGCCCACAGTCGAGCATGGTACCCTACTGGAATCAAACCAGCAACCCTTTGGTTAGCAGGCCAGAGCTTAATCTACTCAGCCACAGCAGCCAGTTAAAATAACACTTTTATCAAGAATTAATTTAGCTACTGGAATTAGCTAAGCAGAAGTTCTAAGCAGTTACTTCCAAGAGGAAGAAGCTCTATGTAAACATGAGGATAAATTTCCTGTGACATAAAATTGGTCACTAAATCTTTCTCTTGAGGTCATCAAAATACTTGGACTCCAGGCAGAGAGATACATTAGATGGGCTCTCAAGGCCATTCTCCCAGCCCTGAACACCATGAGTATATCCTAATGGGGTTAGTGTAGCTATCAGAAGGCTCTTGTATTATCTACAAAGCAATGGATTCTATTCTCAAAAATATCCTTGATGGGGAGTCAACTGAATACAAGGAACAATGCTGCCCATCAGTCAAACAGTACCTTAAAATAGTCGATAAGTGCTTTTGAATACTTTACAGCATGATCCCTTTTGAGTCGAAACATCCGCCAGTACAGGAGAGCCAGGCATCGGTAACTGCAGCAGAAGAAGGAAAATGAGCCCTGAAAGCATGAGTGTGTCCTTTGCAAATAAGACTTTTAAAAAATCCTGTTGTTTCAAGCACTCAATATTTATATAATGATTACATATATAATATACATACACATATGATTGTCAGTATCTGACCTTCCTTTTGTTCAAAAGATACACTTCAAAATTTCAGGGAGTTACTCCATAAGTAAATTTAATTTACTATTAGCTTTATTGCTTTGCTGGGGTGTGGAGCTGGCCATTTTCTTTGTCCACCACTAGAGGACAGTGTCTCCCCACAAGAGGAGTAAGGAAGCTCTAGGTCACAGCTCTCACTGTTTACTGGGGGAGTTTCAGGGCAGAGCCACCTCTGTTTCCCTCTGACACCCTGGCCTTGTCAGGGCACCATCGGCTTTGCTGAAAGAGTGGCCTTTACCTTTAAACTACTTTACTTGATTATAATTAGTTCAAATAAAGGAACAGATACATGTTTTATGGGTAAAAACTATGTTGCAAAGTTATAATTATATGCTATTTTATATATTTATTATTTACATAGTAGTAATATTACATAATATTAATTATTAATCACCATTATTTGTTAATCCTAATATGGACCTTAAAGTTTTAAGAGTGCAGGAAGCATTTCCTGAGACATATCCTCTTTTTCTTGATCCTTTTCACTCACAATTATCTGTTAACTCAGGTGTGGTACTGAAATACTAGATTCCCAACACATCAAATAAAATGTAGTGGTCTCATCTTAGCACATCAAACTCCAGGTGATGTGATGGTACAGAACTACCTGAGGCCTTCTCTTTTTTGTATGTCGCCATATTTATTTATTGAGGCTTGATTGCCTACCCTGCAGATTGGGGGAATATAAACCTTTGGAGAACAAAATATTCTGGATCCTTATCACAGAAGGAACAAATAAAGGGTGTCCTGTGATTTGGGGGGAGTGGATAGGGAAATCACACACACAAACACACACACACACACGCGGATCCTTGCATAATGACCCAGTTAATTTTCCATCACTGAGTGCACACCATGGCTGGTATAGCAGCAAGCAATAGGGTGGGCTCTCTCTGGCCAACATTAGACACACATTTGGTTTACATATTAGAAGGCCCTAGAAAAATATTATGCTAAAACATTAGCACTTGGTTTGCCAATGACTATGGATGTACAGGCTGCACAGGCTACTTTAAGCAGATATGATGCAACTCACCATAATGCAGCCAGTTGTTTATCTTCTGGTGTGGCATTGGGTCCTGAGTGGGTTTTCAGTCTCATAGCATACCTAGAAGAAAGAAAAGAAAGCGAAACCAAAATTTAAAAAAAATTGATTAAATTCATTAAGATGACATTGGTTAATAAAATTAAATAGGTTTCAAGTAAACAATTTTACACTATATCATCTGTATATTGTATTGTGTGTTTACCACCCCAAATCAAGTGTCCTTCTGTCACCCTTTATCTCACTTTCACCCTCTTCTAACTGCCCCACCCCTTTCACTCTGGTAACCACCCTATTGTTGTCTGTGTCTATGAAGGTTTTTTTTTGGCTTAATCCTTTTTCACCCAGCCACTTGAGGCCCCTCCCCTCTGACAGCTGTCAGTCTATTTTCTGTACCAGTGAGTCTGTTTCTATTTTGTTTATTTTTTCATTAGATTCCACTTATAAGTAAAATAATATCATATTTGAATTCTTTGACTCACTTATTTCACTTAGCATAATATTTTCCAGGTCCATTTAAGCTACTGCAAAAGGTGAGATTTCCTTCTTTTTTATGGCTGAGTAGTATTCCACTGTGTAAATGGTACCACAGCTTTCTCATCTACTCATCTAGTAATAGACATTTGGGCTGCTTCCGAATCTTGGCTATTGTAAATAATGCTGCAATGAATATAGAGGTGCATATATTCTTTTGGATAGTGTTTTGGGTTCCTTCAGGTATATTTCCAGAAGTGGGATTGCTGGGTCATAAGGCAGTTTCATTTCTAATTTTTTGAGGACACTCTATATTGTTTCCCACAGTGGTTGCACCACTCTGCATTCCCACCAGCAGTGCACAAGGGTTCCATTTTCTCCATATCCACACTAACACCTGTTGTTTGTGGATTTATGATAGCCATTCTGGCCTGTGTGAGGTGATAATCTCATTTTAACTTGCCTCTCTGATGGTTACTACTCTCTGATGGTGAGTATTTTCTCATATGTCTATTGGCTACCTGCATGTCCTCTTTGGGGAAGTGTCTATTCAGGTCCTTTGCCCATTTTTTAAATCAGATTGTTTGTTTTCCTAGTGTTGAGTTGTACACTTCTTTACATGTTTTGGAAATTAACCCCTTATCAGATATATTATTGGCAAATATGTTCTCCCATTCAGTGGGTTGTCTTTTCATTTTTTTGATGGTTTTCTCTGTTGTGCAAAACCTTTTTAGTTTGATGTGGATCCATTTGTATATTTTTTCTTTTGTTTCCTTTGCCTAAGGAGATACATCAGAAAAAGTACTGCTACAAGAAATGCCTGAGCTTTTACTATTTATGTTTTCTTCTAGAATTTTTATGGTTTCAAGTCTACATTTAGGTATTTAATCCACTTTGAGTTTATTTTTGTGCCCGGTGTAAGAAGGTAGTCTAGTTTCATTTATTTTGCACGTATCTGTCTAATTTTCCCAACACCATTTACTGAATAGTCTGTCTTTAACTCGTTGCATATTCTTGCAACAATTAATGCAAGAATATGCAATATTCTTGGTCAATATTAATTGACCATAAAGATGTGGGTTTATTTCTGGGCTCTCCATTCTGTTCCATTGGTCTATGTGTCTGTTTTTATGCCAGTACCATGCTGTCTTAATTACTAAGGCCTTACAGTATAGTTTGATATTAGGTAGTGTGATTCCTCCAACTTTGTACTTCTTTCTCAAGATTGTTGCTGCTATTCATGGTCTTTTGAGACCACAAATATACATTTTTTGGAATATTTATTCTAGTTCTGTGAAATACACCATTGTTATCTTGATAGGAATTGCACTGAACCTATCTATAGATTACTTTGGGTAGTATGGATATTTTAATGATGTTAATTCTTCTGATCCATAAACATAGTATATGCTCCCATTTATTTGTATCTTCTTCAATTTCTTTTTTTTTTCAGTGTCTTACAATACTTTGAGTACAGGTCTTTTACATCCTTGGTTAAATTTATTCCTAGGTATTTTATTTTTTGATGCAATTTTAAATGAGACTGTTTTCTTAGTTTCCCTTTCTTATAATTCACTATTGGTGTATAAAATGCAACCAATTCCTACATATTTATTTTGTATCCTGCTACTTTACTGAATTCATTTATCACTTCTAGTAGTTTTTTTGTGGGATCTTTAGGGTTCTCTATATACAGTATCATGTCATCTGCAAATAATGACATTTTACTTTTTCCTTTCCAATTTGGATACCTTGTATTTCTTTTTCTTGTGTGATTACTGTGGCTAGGGCTTCTGGTACTATGTTGAATAATGGCAGGAAAGCAGACATCCCTATCTTGTTTCTGATCTTAAGGGAAATGCTTTTAGTTTTTGTCTACTGGGTATGATGTTGGCTGTGGGTTTGTCATATATGGCCTGCACTATGTTGAAGTATGCTCCCACTTTGCTGGGAGTTTTTATCATACATAGGTGATGGATTTTATAAAATGCTTATTCTACCATTATTCACATGAAAATGTAGTTTTTATCCTTTATTTTGTTTATGTGGTATATCGCATTTATTAATATGCAAATATTGTGCCAACCCTGCATCCCCATAATAAATCCCACCTGATCATGGTGTATGATCTTTTTAAAGTATAGCTGGATCCTGTTTGCTCATATTTTGTTGAGGACTTTAGCATCTATGTTCATCAGGGACATTGGCCTATAATTTTCTTTCTTTGTAGTGTCTTCATCTGGTTTTGGAATTAGGATAATGCTGGCCTCATAAAATGAGCTTAGCAGTCTTCCTTTCTCCTGAATTTTTTTGAATAGTTTGGTATTAATTCTTCTTTGAATGTTTGGTAAAATTTACCTGTGAAGCCATCTGGTCCAGGAATTTTGTTTGTTGGGAGGTTTTTTTTTAAATTTTTTTTAATTTTTTTTTATAGCTTCAATTTCCTTAGTTGTAATTAGTCAATTCAGATTTTCTGATTCTTCCTGATGCAGTTTTGCATGACCATATGTCTCTAGGAATTTATCCATTTCATTCAAATTGTCCAATTTGTTGGCATATAGTTGATTGTAATATGTCCTTACAATCCTTTGAATTTCTGCAGTGTCAATTACTACTTCTTTTTCATTTCTGATTTTATTTATTTAGGTCCTCTCTTTTTTTCTTGACAAGTCTAGTTAAAGGTTGGTCAATCTTGTTTACCTTTCTAGAGAACCAGCTCTGGTTTTGCCCATCTTCTGTATTGTTTTTTAGACTATATGTCATTTATTTATGCTCTGATCTTTATCATTTCCTTTCTCCTACTCACTTTGGGTTTTGTTTGTTGTTCTTTTTTTAGTCTTTAAGTGTAAAAGTTATATTGTTTGAGATTCTCCTTGTTTCTTAAGGTAGGCTTGTAATGCTATCAACTTCTCTCTTAGGACTGCTTTCACTGTGATCCATAGATTTCGGGTTGTTGTGTTCTCATTTTCATTTGTTCCAAGGTAGCTTTTGTTTTTTCCTTGATCTCCTTGTTAACTCACTCATTGTTTAGTAACATGATATTTAGCCTCCATATCTTTGTTTGTTTTTCATTTTTTTCTTGTGATTGATGTCTAGTTTCACGCCATTATGGTCAGAGTGAATGCCTGCTATAATTTCAATCTCCTTAAATTTATTGAGACTTACTGTGTGTCTTAACATGTGTTCTATCCTAGAAAATGTTCCATGTGCACTTGAAAAGAATGTATGTTCTGCTGCTTTGGGTTGAAATGCTCTGAAGATATCAATTAAATACATCTGGTCTATGGTGTCATGTAAGGCCACCACTTCCTTGTTGATTTTCTGTTTTTAAGATCTAGCCATAGAGCCCCAGCTGGTGTGGCTCAGTGGATTGGGTGCTAGCATGCAAACTGAAAGGTCACTAGTTCAGTTTCCAGGCAGGTACATGCCTGGGTTACAGGCCTGGTCCCTGGTTGTGGGTGTACGAGAGGCAACCAATGATATATTTCTCACACATTGATTTTTCTCTCCCTTCTTCCTTCCCCTCTCTAAAAGTAAAAAAATAAAATCTAAAAAAGATCTATCCACAGATGTCAATTGGGTGGTAAAATCCCCTACTATGACTGTGTTACTGTCACTCTCTCCCTTTATGTCCATCAATATTTGCTTTATATATTTAGGTGGTCCTATGTTGGGTACATAAATATTTAGACGTGTTATAGCTTCTTGTTGGATTGATTCCTTTATCATTATGTAGTATCCTTCTTTGTGTCTTACTATAGCCTTTGTTTTATTTTTTAAGACTTTTTAAAATTTATTTTTAGAGAGGGGAAGGGAGGGAGAATATAGCCTTTGTTTTAAAGTCTGTTTTGTTACGTATAAGTATTGCTACCCCAGCTTTTTTTAAATTTCCATTTTTATGAAATATCTTTTTCTATCCCTTTATTTTTAATCTGTGTGTATATTTCAATCTGAGATGTGTCTCTTGGAGGCAGTGTATATCAGTTTTGTCTTCTTATCCATTCAGCTACTCCACGTCTTTTGATTGGGACGTTTAAGCCATTCACATTTAAAATAGTTATTGACAGTATGTATTTATTGCCATTTTATTCTTTATAACTATGTTGCTCTTCTTCTGTTTTTCTTCTTCTTCCTTCTTAGTTTTTCTTATTCCTTTCTCCTCCTTCCTCCGACCCCTTCTCCTCTTCCTATTCTTCTTTTAGAAGACCTTTTAATGTTTCTTGTAATATTGTTTTGGTGGTAAAGAACCCACTAAACTTTTTCTTGCCTGGGAAGTTCTTTATTTCTCCTTCAATTTTAAATGACAGCCTTGCTGGGTAATGTAGTCTTGTTTTAGGTGTTTGCTTTTTTTTTTTTTTTAATCAATTTGAATATTCCATTCAATCCCTTCTGGCCTGTAATGTTTCTGTTGAGAAATCTTCTGAAAGTTTTATGGCAGCTCCCTTATAAGTAACTGTCTTTCTCTCGCTTTTAAGAATCTTTGTCTTTCATCTTTGACATTTTAATTATGATGTGTCTTGGTGTGGGCCTCTTTGGGTTCATTTTATTTGGGACTCTCTCTTCTTTATGGACTTGTATGTTTTTTTCCTTCACTAGGTTAGGGAACTTTTCAGTCATTATTTCTTCAAGGAGGTTTTTGATCCCTTGCTCTGTCTTCTCCTTCTGGTACCCCTGTGATGCAGATACTGTTATGCTTCATGTTGTTCCACAGGTCTCTTAAACTTCCCTCCTTTTTAGAATTTTTTTTGCCCTGATTGGATGTTTCCTACTACCTTGTCTTGCAAATCACTGATCTGAGCCCCTGCTTCATCAAACATACTGTTTATTCCTTCTAGTGTCTGCTTCGTTTCAGATATTGTATTCTTCATTTTTGACTGGTTCTTTTATATGGATCTATGTCCTTTTTAATGCTGTTTTAGCTCTCACTAAGTTCCTTGAGCATCCTTACAACCATTTCTTTTTTCAGTTATCCAGTAAATTGCTTGCCTCTATTTCATTTAGCTCCTTTTCTGGAGATTTCTCCTGTTCTTCCATTTGAGGCATGCTTCTTTGTCTTCTTATTTTGGCTGCCTCTTTCTGTTTGTTTCTATGTAATTAGGTAGATCTGCTATGTCTTTCAGTTTTGGTAGGGTGACCTTATGTAGTAGGTATCCTGTGGGACCCACTGGAACAGTCCTCTTGATCACCTGAGCTGGGTGCTCCAGGAATGTCACTTGTGTGGTTTATTGTCTTGAGTGTCAGATGGTAGCATAATTTTTGTTTCAATCATCAAATAAGATTTATAAAACTCATAAGGAAAGTTTATTGCACATATCCAAATTTCTCTTATTCTGATGCTCTCCTCATGCTCCAAGATTCCTTTTTTTGGTCATTTCCTTTCTGTTTGAGAAACTTCTTTTAGCTAATCTATAAGGATGGGTGTTCCTTAGTCTGAAAATATATTTATTTCCTCTTCAGTCCTGAAAAATAAAGTTTCACTGAATCTAGAATTCACTGTTTGATAGTTTTTCTTTTTCTTTCAGCACTTGAAAAATATTGTGCCATTCTATTCTGGTTTCCACAGTTTCAGATGCAAAGTCTGCTGTCATTTGAATTGGTGTTCCCCTATAGGTGACATGTCATTTCTCTCTGGCTGCTACCAGGATTTGTTTTTTTTTTTGTTTTTAGTTTTCAGAATGTAGTTATGATGTGTCTTTACATGCAATTTTTTTTTAGAGTTTATCCTATTTGGGTTCTTCTCAGCTTCTTGAGCCTGTAGTTTATGTCTCTTGCCAAATCTGGCAAATTTCCACCATTACTTCTTCAAATACTCTTTAGTCCTACTGTCTTCCTCTATTTCTGAGACTCCCATGATATATGTTGCATGTTTTGTTATTAGGTTTGAGACTCTTATCTATTTTTTTTCATTCTATTTTCTCTCTGTTATACAGATTGGGTTAATTCTATTTCCTATTCATTGATCCTATCCTTTGTCATCTCCACTGTGTTACTGAGCCATCCAGTGAGATTTTTGTTTCTGTTAGTTAGTTTTGGAAAGAATTATTTCACATAATGGGTTAGACATTATCCAAAGAAATTAAACTGGATAAAAACAAATCATGTGACAAAGGTTTCTCAGTAGGGTTAACAGATGAAATCCCTTTAATGGTTCATGAAAGAGATGATAATGATATGCCTTTCCAGGACTCCATCATGGAAGGTGAGCATCTACCACCAACCGCCTTGATGTGCTCCCATCGGAAACCCTGCTTCTGCTCACATTACATGTCTTAATCCAGGTTCTGAAATGATGCTCATTTCTAAGTCTTACACTAGAACAATGTCAGGACCCTCTGAGATAGTGTATCATAGGATAAAATTCATTTCCTAAAATCTCCCAGAATCTTCTTTCCTTTCATTAAATACTCTGAATCATTATTGATGGAGTTAGAATTGAGATTATACTAACATGGATCATATTTTTAAAAAGCAGCATAGAGGTGACATGAGTTAAAAATCTTCTACTTCCTAGCTGGGGGAAGTAGGCATTCCTGTCTCACTCGGACTCAGCTTCCTTCCTGCAGCATTATAGGAGCTGCCCTGCCTCACTCACAGACAGCAAAGGAGGCAGGGGGTGTGAAAATGTCATGCAAAATTTTATATTGTTACTTTTGGAGATGAACACTGGTTCTTGGTAGCTGATAATGCAAGCCAACATTCTTCTCTCTGCATTCAGAGTACTTAAAAACTTTTCTCACTCCCCCATCAACCCTGCCCCCCAAGAAGAAACAGCACTTACCTTATAAGCTCCACTGTTTCTGAATACATTGTATAAGGAGACTTGGATTCCATTGGACCCTGTTCCATTGCATTTCCACACTCAATGAATGATAAGGCTGCTTCAGCATAGTTCAATGCCTTTCCAAACTTTTCCACCTAAAAAAGAGTTAAGACATTGTCTTCTTTAAGTACAGTTTTTTTTTTTTTTTAAGAAACAGTATTGTCTATACACTTTGTTTGAGAAACCCAACTTTTGAGTTCCAAATTCCTATGAATGGAACTGAGAGGAAAAAAATGGGATTCTTTCTCCTCTATTATCTTCATAAACTGCCACTGGTTTAGGATAAGTGAATGGTTACAGACAGAATTGTACCAAATTCATATAACAACTGCCAATCAGAATTGTTCAGAACTTCATTTTTGCTCTAATTTCTATTTTTCTTTTTCTAACCCCTAATAGCTTGGCAACTTCATTCCTTGCCCCCTCATGCCATGCTAAGTATATGGCAAAGTTTGTGGGCCTGATTCCATATGAAAGTTTTCATACTTTTTTTTGTATACTTCAACTTTGATGACTTCTGGCCTTGGTTATTACCTTTTCTATTATCTGTGACATTTCCATTTCCATGCTTTCCTCCTGGTGTGTATGTGCATATGTGTGTGTGTTTAATGATTTCTTTAAGAGTTAGGACCTCACTTAAGGGTGAGAGTAAGGAGAGAAAAGGAGAAGAGATAAAATACAAGGCAGTATTTCATTTTAGCTAAAGTGGGATACAAAATTGAAATGTAATAAAAAACATGTTTTGGGGTTTACATGAGGTTGTCTAAATTGATGTCAAGCTTTCCCTACAACAGCAAGAATCAGCTTTATATTCTGAGGGTCTCATAAATCTAAATTTACACATCAAGTTCTTGGTTCCATACATTGTTACTCTTTGTGGATAATTACCTGCTCTAAGTTTGAACTGCATAATCTTTCTGGTTTTCAAATATTTACTCATCAATCAAAACAGGATTACACAAATACTCTAACTACTAATATAAGTCTTGCCTCTAAAAAATTATCATTCATAATGATATCTTAGAAAACAGAATGCTTAGAGCAAAATTCTCTCTCATCAGCAAATCAAATTTTTAAGTAGCTTATAACCCTAACAGGCTATCGAGCAATGTTTCTTAGCAACACTTTGAGATTAAGGAAGCCATTCATTCATTATTTTCTTAAGCACCCAATTCTGTACTATGTATACTCGATACACACAAGTTCCTTTCAGGGACATATAAAACATTTAGAGAGAAGAAATGAACATCCACATTTCATAGTACAGTTCATAGTACAAGGCAGCCTGTGATTAACTCAAAATGCCAAGCAAGGAGACTAATGCACATGAGATGGTAGGAAGGGAGCAAGTGATGGGGCTACAGAGGCTGGGAGGCCTAGGGGAAAAGACCTGAAAATGACACTGCGAAAGAAAGGATTTGGGGAGTGTGCTGAAGTTGTGAGTGTACCTGAAAGCGAGAATGTGTAAGTATGAGTGAGCTGTGAGTATGTGAGTGTGAGGTTCTACAAGTGCAAAGGCCTGCTGGCTGGCATGAGCAAGGTATGTGTAGAGGCTGGTAGGGGCCAGCCTACTTGAAGCAGTGTTGGGATAGGCACGATGACACTGAATGAATAATCCTCATAATCCTTGGGTGATTTAGGAAGAAATTTTCATTCTGCTCTAAAATTCAATGCTCTTCTCCAATGGTGACTGCTTCAGCTTCTTCAGGTGACCAGAACCCTTTATCCAACTGTGAGATTGTGAGGGCAAGAATGGTACCTTCTCTATTTTCTAATACTTTGGTTATTTTCCTTGTACACTGGTATACCTAGGCAGTGATCTTCATACAAGTAAATATTTGATAAGCAACATCAATAGCATTGGAAGAGGAGTGCTGGTATGGTTTGAACACCTTCAACACTGGGATAGTATGATAAAGGTCATTTGAAATGCCTTTTTCATCTCTAGCTCCCCAATCTCAGTTATAAATGCTGGGAGGGAACAGAACCATTACTCCCAGACAGGGAAGAGTCCCCATGGATGAGACCTCAAGATGCAATAACAATATGATCTCTTTTAGAAAAAACCAGAAATTAAAAAAAATCTAATGCCTGAAAAGCTTCAAGCTTTTCAAAACAGTGGATTATCCAAGTAAAAACGTTATTTTTTGCAAATATAAAATCATTGTGACTTTAGAGTCTTTTCTGCAGTATAATCATTTCTGTGTTGCACAGTTGCAGGGAAGTATTCGTTTTGGCAGATACACATGAAGGACATGAGTCTTTTTGAAAAGGGATTAGGTCCTGGGACCAAGCCAAGAGTTGGCAAGACTAACAAGACAAAAATGCAAACCTAGATTTTATTTTAAAGAAAAGAAATACACCACCCACTGACTCTACTGCTTGTAGTTACTATTCAAACCTTAGGACTAAATTAAAATATTCGTTTATCCAGGGCTTTTTCCCAGTCAGACATTATTAGGTTGAAGTCATAATTTATTGGGCTATGAGCACTTGATTACATAAACATTTTCCCATTTAACAGACCCAGCCATCCTTGTAATAGATTTTATAATTATACCGGCTATATAGCCCCAGTGACGAAGGTGCAGTACAAAAACATAATATGGAAGAACGAATCTGGAAATAAGAGAAACTTACCATTGCATCTGCTTTATGCTTCATCCGTTTAGCTTCTTGCATAAAATAATCTGCACTGCGTGGCCTGCAAGGAGAGGACGACACCGCATGTCACTGCTGTGGAAGAGCAGGCTTGTGACAGTACTCCTTTCATTTACTCACAATTTAAAAACTGCATTTAGCAGGGAATCAAGTACTTTTTGCATTTCCAAATTACTGCCCATATGTAAAGTACCACAATTATATGTAAAGTACCACATATGTAAAGTACCACAATTATATTTTGCTTAAGTTAGCAATTCAAAATGCAGCCTATGTCAATCGTCTACATTTACAGTGATTTTAACATGGTTCTCCAGTGCCTAATTTGTGAATCAGATTTTTTATTGCATGGTTAAGAAAACAAGTAAAAAATCTTATTTCATGTGACATTTATATAAACAACTGCTTTTTAATGAGATTGCAAATATACCTCATAATAAGTGTATGGATATGTATGGGTGAGCATATTTATGTACCCTTATGAAAATCAGTGTCATTTATGTGTATTAATGGTACCTAGAGTTATATGTATCTATATATAATTATTTTAAAGCTTCACAGTGAGAAATGGAAAGAGGTTACGCTGCATGATTATATTCAGTAGAATGAAGGTAATTGTAAAACGATGTCTGCCTTGTAACAATGTAACCGTGGCATGATTCTCCAGAGCTCTGATTAGCTAGCTGGTAAATATTAACAGCAGACATGTGTATCATTAAAGTGGTAACCCTGGCCAGCACTGATTCTGATAGATTCAGTGCTGGAAGATGAAGGTAATGAGTGTGTGTAATAACTTCAAGTTACACTAAGGTACTCATCAGGCAATAAATACTTTTACATGTTTAATCTGATAGATTTTTAAAAATCTGCATACTTTAGGTGATATCAGCCTAAATGTTTTTTATATTATGGACAGCATTTATGCTCTTATCTAATCAATAAACTTGACCCTGCTTATGAATATCCAGTATAAGCCAGGCCTCCCTGAAAGGGAGATAAGATGTAAATAGTGATGTTAACCATGGACTGTCTAAACTATTGTCACATGCTTATTTTGAACTACCTTCTTTCAGATTCTAACGGGTCTTTTTCCTTACTTACTTATTAGGTGGTCAAAACATCTTTTTATCCCAAAAGGTCAAAATGCTTAGAAAAACTATGAATATAATGTTGCCAATACCACGGCCATCCAAAAGTGTTATCCTCATTTTAATGGTTTTAATCAATCAATTAATAAATCAAACAAAGAAACTGGGATAACAGCAAATAGTTTCAGGTCACAGGTTACAAATCACTAAAGAAAAATACATTGGTTTTCTGTCTCACTTCCCCATAAAAAGCTGTCAGGACTGTGGTACTGTGCTGAAAATATTTAACTTCTCTAACAAAGAAATGAGGAACACATTTGCAGGAGTTCCCTAATGCATATCATTTAACTCCCATCGTTGGCTCCTTATCCCTTTACCATTCTTTCTTCCACTCAGGCCTGCAAACTTCCATTCATCTTGCTGCATCTTCACTGGAGGGTGAGGCCTGCAGTTTCTGCCATTGGAAGGCCCTGCTCCTACCAGCTCTGGGTTCTTTAGTTCATTTCCTAGCCATCCAGACTCTTTCATGTGAAGGGCTTTAGTGACACTTACATGGTGGTTTTCCTTCTTTGTCCCCATATTGGTCCTTGATCACACATTGACTATCTGTTTGGTCTTTGACTCCAATTCTGGTAGTCTACATCATTTTTGTTGGTGGTGGCTTTTAATGGACTTACTTTGTATTTTTGGAGCCACTGTAGGTTGACAGGAAGCAGAAAATACTGAGGGTTCCAGACACCTCTTGCTCACACGCTCACAGACTCCCTTCATTATTAACCCCCCCGGCACGGTGGTACATTTGTTACAACCAGTGAACCTACACTGATGCATCACCATCACCTGAAGTCCAGAGCTTACCTTAGGTTCACTCTTGTGTTGTATATTCTATAGGTTCTGACAAATGTATAATGATATTTATCCACCATTATAGTATCACACAGAGTAACTGCACCGCTGGACAATATGGGCGATGCCCGAAATATCCTCTGCACTATTTTTTTGTTTCCTTTTGCTTCATGCCCCAAAGTGGAAGACCAGACCCCACCTCTAGCCCAAACCCATGCTCCTGCAATCTATCCCAGACCTTAACCCTTGAATAACATTTATAAAATATGGCTTTCATTAGAACACCACCCTAACTCACAAACCTGAAATCAATCTCCAGGGCCCATGACCCCTCAGTTCAGGCCTTCAGCAATCTAACCCAACTGTCACTCACCAAGGCCCTTCACCACAAGGGCTGTATCCTCACTGTCTTAACACGACATCCCTGTCTTAGAAGCTCTGCTCACTCTCTTTCTCCTGCCTGGAATACTTTCCTCTCTGCTCATTCACTGAGTATCTACTATGAGCCAAATGTCACTTTCCCCTCAAATTTTACCACCATGAGGCCCTCTTGGTAACCTTGGTCCACACTCATGTCTTTCTTTCCTAATCTGAAACACTGCCTCTTGTTTGTACTACACTCTGGGCACTTAATTATCTTCTGAGCTGTACAGGGCTCATTCACCGCATACATGCAACCTTGCAGCTGGTACCTTTTCAGCAGAGGCTATGCTGTAGGCCTCTTTGCTCTTTTCCACCCTGTAGTTTTAGACACATGGGATAAGGTAAATGAATCCCCTTTGAATATCACTGAATTCATTCTAAGCTGAGAAGAGAGTGGTGGCTTCCAATGGCAGCAACATAGCCAATGAGCCAGAGAATGTTTCCATGGCAACCTGAAATTCTCTACATCATTATCTGCTCTATACTCTTGTATATGAGGTTGGTCATTTTTTTCTTGCCCTGTTTGGTAGGTCTTGTCGCTAACAGATCATCATTTTGAATGCATTTCATTTTCATGAAAGGAATCTCTTGATATTAAGCTATGACATCTTAGTTTTCACGAGCTTTCTAAGTTACCCTTATGGATAGCAGTGGCTCCTAATCCCTATATGGGGTCCTCAATCAAGGCTGTTTCTACCTGTGGCACATGAATGTATTTTTAAACCTGATATGAAGGCTAAGTCACAAACTTGCACAATAGTGTATGTGGATAAGTAACACATCTAATTTTCTGAGTATATCATAGCAGCTACAACAGTAACCTGAGATGCTGAAAAAAAAAATGTATCATCCAGAGGCCATTTACAACACATTAGTTAGAATTCTCATCTCTGCATATAACGGAGAGCTCATTACGCTGATTCACTGAAGACTGCCTGATGACTGGCCCATTTTCTCCTTTTAGGTGATTTCTAGTGTTACACTCCCACACCAGATCATTATAAAGGTAAGGGGACTGATGGGATGTCACCCAAATTGCCCAGTGGTGCAGTGGATGCATGCTCTCATAAAGGCATCACTTCAACTGCAACGTTCAAGCCAGGAGGAAAATAAAATTGTAGTCACTGTTTTGGCAGTTATAGAATAGAACACGGCAAAGGTACTAAAGTGAAATCTAATTACCTCAGTGTTCAAACAGATTCGTCATCCAATCTATTTTGTTTACGCCAAAAACCTATAATTTTTGTTTCTTGCTTAGATAATAACATTCTTTACATTGATTCTTGTGATGGCATTCTGTGAGGGGACCTGAGCAAACCTGATTAAAGTTCAACTAAATAGCATACATGTAATAGCGTATCTGGGGCTTTTCAGAAATAGGGCTCGTGTGATCTAAACGGGCGAAGCTTAGCCGCACATACCTTTGTTATAAGAGCTCTCAGCAGCAAAAACAGCCTGAGCACTTGATCCAAAGAGAATGTTTTCTTTTTTCTTTTCTTCTCCTCGTCCTCCCACCACCCTACCTACAAATACACAACCTTGGTTCTGAGCAGCAACTGGGTTTGAGCCACCCTGATCTTTTTTCTGGGGAGGAGGGTTAGAGCAACCTTGCTCTCTGTTCTCCTTGGTGGCAAGATCCAGCTGAATGTGCTCCCATGGAGAGGCTGGCGGAGTCCTTTCTGTAATTCCTACCTCTGGGAAACAATCCACCAGAAGGACCAGCCTGTTCAGTGAAAGCTGGCGGGGATGAGAGCTCAATGTGTTTGAACAAACAGGTTCCTTGGCATAGCAGAAATCTGAATAATTTTCTTAGGGAAGTTGAAATCCAAATGAGAGAAGCAGGCAACTGCATACCAAATCAATTCATCATCTGACATCCTATCAGCTTGTCATTTGATAAGCCCCAGTGATGTCACAGTGTCCCAAGCTCTGGGGCACTTTTTTTACAAAGAGGAATGTGTAAGAAGTTGGCAGATGGGAGAGGAGTTGGGGGCTGGGTGGAAAAGGTGAAAGGATTACAAGTACAAACTGGCAGTTACAAAATAGTCACAGGATATAAAGTACGGCGTAGGGAACATAATCAATAACACTGTCACAACTATGTATGGTGCCAGTGGGTACTTAAATTATCGCAGGGATTACTTTGTAAATTATATACATGTCCAACCACTATGCTGCACAACTGAAACTAATACTGAATGTCAACTCTAATTGAAAAAAATTAAGCAATTATAATATTTTGATGCACCAAGTAAGTGATACTATTGATGAGGGCACTTCAGAGTCAGCAACTCCAGGTGAGGTGTTGGCTTTATGGGTCTTTCCTGGAGGAAACAGGTGAACTGCATTTAAGAAGCAAGGATTCAGATGCAGCATTTGTTTCTATAACCTTGGTGTTGGCTGGGACCCCAGAGTCCCTGGAACCTGGCTTCTCAGAAATGCCAGTGATTATTCACTGTGTCTCTCACAGCAGCAGGCTCTTGCAGGTGACGGCTTCACCTGGCCACACACAGAAAACAGCATGTGCTTTCCAGGATGCACAGGTGAGTGCAGCAGGGTTTGTCATTTCATCAAAAGCAACTTTCTGGTGAAGTGGAAACTTATCAGTTCTATTGTTGTTGTAGTCTGGGTGTGACATTTATAATAGAATAATTTTACAAAACCTTTAAACACATCAGAGAGGTAA